TTAATTGAAATAAATTTTCATTATAATCTTTTTTAAATGTAAATATTTATTTGTAAATGTAAAGTATTTTTTTGGTATATTTGTTTCATTTTATATATGTAAATACTTTTTTGGTTCAAAAGATGCTTAGAGACTTAATCGTTTAAATTATGAAAGTTCATTAGTTTTTTTTTCCAGATTTTTTCCATTAGTTTACCACATTAATCAGTTGTATAGCTTATAAGGATGTATCTAATATGTTTTAGAAAGTTCAGAGAGTTATTTAACAGGTTTTTGAATGTCCCAAAACTAATTTGTTCCAAAAAATTGGCCAATGACTTAATCATTCCAAGCACTAAAGGTCCTATATTTTTATATGTTCGAGTTACAGGCCCATAAAATAGTTTAAGCTTGAAACCTGAGTCTGGCTCAGTCTGAGTCCGACTTGTAAAATCTTGTTAGCTTGAAGTCTAGTCCAGATCGGGCCTTAGATCCCGATTAAGCTGATATTTTAGGGCCAGGAATGCCCCCGTGCTCCGGCCCGAAAAAAGCCTATAAAAGCTCGGTTAAACCCAAGAAAGTCCAAAAAAAGATCAACCTGAAAAAGTTTTCAACTTCAAACCTAAAAAACAATCGGGGTTTTCTTTATTCCTTACTAAGATCGAGCTTTGAAGACTAGGGCTCGAGTGAAAAAAAACTATGGGCTTTATGCATCTCTGGTTCGGATTGGATAAAATGGAAAAAGAATTATCTCAATCATTATCTTTCTGTGTAAAAACTAACATTTCATGGCTTAGATTAGGTTAGAGATGGCCAAATGAGCCTAGCCTGGGACTGGGACCGACTTAGGACTGGCCCGGCCCTGGACCGATTGGGACCGCTATGGGACCACCGGTAATGGTTTCATCCAAAAACAAGGCTTGGCCTAGGACTGGTTTGGGACGTGTTATAGGCTTGGCCTGGGACTGGTTTGGGACGTGTTATAGGCTTGGCCTGGGACTACGTGTTATAGGCTTGGCCTGGGACTGGTTTGGGACGTGTTATAGGCTTGGCCTGGGACTACGTGTTATAGGCTTGGCCTGGGACTGGTTTGGGACGTGTTATAGGCTTGACCTGGGATCAGCCCAATTTTTTTTTCAAAAAATGTATTTTTAAATGTATTTCTAAGTGCATTTGATTGAAAATCAAATTACAAATTTACATTAAAACATAATTTTAAGTGTATATTATTGAAAACCAATTATAAAACTATAATAAAACGTAATTTTTAAATGTATTTGATTGAAAATCAACTATAAAACTACAATAAAACGTATTATTGAAGTGTATTTAATTGACCTAATTAGATATTTTAAAGTATATTAGAATGACATTAAAGTATTTTTAAAAATTTATCAAAAAGAAATTTAAAAAATATATATAGAAAATGTTTTTTTAATAAAGGACCGTTTTGGGCCCGGCGTGGGACCAAACCTGGACCGGTTACCGTAACCAGTTACACTTAACCGGGCCTTAGTATTTTCGACGGGACCGGAACCGATTATGAGCATCATTATTCCGACTCAGGACCGGTCTGAACCCGGCTCGACCCAACCCGACCCGATCCAGGACCAGTTTTTATCCATCGGTAGATGAGGTTGAGGGTAAAATAGTTGCCAAAAAACTTGCTAAAACATTTACTTATTTTTTACTTCTTGATTTTTCTCGCATTTGAGAGGAAAACTTTAGAGAAAAACACCCAATGAACTCAATTTTTGTGTACCTAATTTAACCACTTACTTAAAATACCCAAACCACTCATATTACCACCTACGGATATGAATTATCTGTATATGTATATGTCTTTATATATCATTTTTCTATTAACGTACTTGTTAGACTCATATTTGCAAAATATATATATATATATATATATATATATATATATATATATATATCGGCTCATTTAAGGGAGAACTGGTTAGTTTGTAGTAACCGAGAGATCCAATGTGAAACACGCATTAAGATATTTAAGGATATTTCTTAAATAAGCTAAAAAGGTAATATAATAATTCTATTTTTTACAACTAATCAAAATTAGTTACCTAGTATATCAATTACCTAATATACATCGTATTTTAAAAACGTTTGTGAATTAAAATGTATTATAGTGATAAAATTCACAATGTTTTATGTGTATCACTCTGTATTTTCTTTGTTTTTATAAAATGTATCATACTGTGATTTTCGTTATATTAATTGTTTTACAAAGGGTATCACATTATGTATCTTGGTATGTATATATGGGTATCACAGTAAGTATTATAATATGCATTTTGTGTTCACATAAGGTTCATTGAAATAAGGTTCGTCGGAGAGAGAAAATAGGAGAGATGAGATTTATAAAATCCCTAAAATGGCCTTAATTAATATTTTAAGTTAAAATTACCAAAACTATTAATTTACTAATTTAACCTTTGATTTATAGTTGAGATTGGATCTCACGATTACCACAAACAAAAAGTTTTCATTTAGTTAGGCCCTATGTGTGTGTGTGTGTATGCTTAGAATCACGTGAGACCCGTGAGACCATTTTTTTACACTTGAAACTTCATAGCAAAATGTTGTGAAGGTAACCTTCATAGTGTTTTTACTGTGAAGGTTCGGCTTTTTTACCTTCACAGCGTTTTGCTGTGAAATTTCAAGTGTAAAAAAATGGTCTCACAGATTTCACGAAAACATTTGGTCTCACACCCATATATATATATATATATATATATATATATATATATATA